CGTGACAGTAATGTTATTTCCCAAATTTCCAATCTGTGCTTTGTTTGTTAAATCACATTCAGAATTTGTGCAAGCAAGTTTTTGGATTTTCCGTCGTGTTAGGCCAAACATTTATCATTCGACGCTGGCTAATATCTATTTCCAAGATTCGAGTTGGCTTTATGATGCTGGACCATTGGTAATAAGGTCCGTCTTGACCAAATTGAATATTAAGATTTAAGGCAACTGATCACTGTCGCTCATCGACTTCTTACTGGCGATATATGTCAAAGGAAAGCAGTTCGCAATAATCCAACGAACCTTGGTTTTTTCGATCGTCTTATGACTTCACACCAAATGTTGGTAGATTTGGCCACTACGATAATAACGGTAGAGGAATATTTGCATTTGAACACTTCACATATCCCCCAAATTTTCGAAATCATGAAACATTTATCTCTTAGTTTGAATCTGTATTATTTTCCAATACTTCCTCAAACACTGTACATAGTTTACATAATTTATGTAAAATTTATTTGGTGGTTGACTTTGGTGACAGTAATTTGGTTTCTAACAATTGGGCGATAAACAACTAGGCGTTGTCGAATGCTTATATTTGCTTTCCCCGTCGCCTCTATCTTTTTCGCTTAATTTTCAAGCCCTACATTTAAAGCGCACAATTGTAAGATTTTTCTCAAGTTTGTACTACATATGCGCTCATAAAAGTCACAATCTGTACACTGTGCTCTGTTTTCAATACTCTATAAGAATTGTAAACTGACTGCACAGCTCTATCGGACAAGTCATTTTACTACCTAATCGGTACATCTCAATCGATATTCTGTTGTGAACCTTTTCTGAGCTATTGATGCAGCCTCCTTGGTAACCCTACTAGGGTAGTGTTTCCCTTGATGGTCTATGTTGTAAATAGTTGATCATGACTTTAAAAATTATGTCAATCTATTTATAAGGAATGGGTCATGTACATTGTGAACTATGGACTAAACCACACACAACACAAAGCGTAACTCAACATTTATCTTCGTTTACAGCGACTGCGAAAATGACAACTATCCCACTATTAGCTCATGGATCTAATTGATCATTAACATAGACAACGTAAACTCTAAGCAAACGGGTTCATGGGAATGAATCCTCAGTACTTTATGGGGAGGCATATTGACGACAAATACTGATGAGGCACTAAACTGTAACTCTAAGCTCGTATCTGTTGTGAAAGGCGTGGTACTGGAACCATCCGGTAACCAGGTTGTAAGAGTATCGCTACTACGACGAACAATTCCTGAACATTAATAATCAAATAAGTGTTTGAAATTTAATTTAAGTGCTGTTAATTTCAGTGGGTATCAGTGCGTGATTTTGCTCTGACGAATATTCACAAAACGTCCTAGTGAATCACCACTGAAACAACATGTTCGTCTCGTTTCACTTTTTTTCTCACTATCCGCCTACGAATATGCTACTCCCCCATAATAACGCCGGCACTTTATGATTGATCTGTTTGATTCATGCAAAAATCCTGATTTTACTGACAAAAATTAAATTTCCGGTCTGTTTTCCACACTTGTCTAGGTCTAGAGGGATAACATATGAAAAACTCAGTTATTTGTTTTGGTTGTCACCTTGAAGTTATTCACCGAATTCTTTTGACCCTATGATCCCATGTTTTCCTCATAAACGACATCAGTCTTATTTGAGCAAAAATATCTTCACATAACCTGAGATAATAACTTGTCACCACACTAATATCAATTGTGTATTCGACCCCAAATAATTTTCACCGCAAATTTTAATTTTAACCATATCAACTGAAGCCCAAATAAATTTGTGTGTTTGCGTGATGATTACGATTTTTGTCATTTTTAGGACCTCCTTGTTGTTAGGCAAATTCAATGCAACTCATAGCGATTTTCCTCTATTGATCCTGTTATTATATGGTGTTTTATTCCTTTAGTTGCTGAGGGGTGGGTCAAAGTGGTACTTGTCTATGATATACTCACATAATAACGTTGTTACATATCAAAGTCGAAAAGTCAAATAAGGCCATGCTTTTACCCATCATAAACCAATCTTATCCACAATATTTTCTAAAACTATATGACTACATGACTCTCAATGGATAGTTTCAAGAGGAGGCCTGATTGTTGCTCACAAATTGCTATCTTTCTTCAGGAACGGCCGTTTGGCAATCGTCCCACAAATTATCTATTAGTAACACGACTACCATTTCTACGATTACAGCAATCAGTCTGATGAGCGCAACTGCATGAAATACCTAACAATGAGAGCGGAATATGTTTCAAGAGAAGGAAATATGAGACAACTATATGACACAACGAAGAAACTAGCAGGGAAATATAGTAAACCAGAGAGAACAGTCAAATACAAAGAAGGCAAAACAACCACCGAGATTCAAGAACAGAGGAACAAATGGGTTAAATGATTCGAAGAATTCTTGAATAGACCATTGGATATTGAGGCAGCACACAGAGACATTCCTATAGATGTCACTACACAAATAACGGGAGAAATTAACATAACCATTAGACAAATCAAGGGTGGAAAAGCAGCAGGACCGGACAATATGCCAGCCGGAACACCAAAGTCAGACATAGAAGTAACTGCAAACATGCTTCACAATCTACTCAGGAAGATATGGGAGGGAAAACAAATGCTGACGCACTGGAAAATGATGTCTCATCAAGATACCACAGAAAGGAGATTTGAGAAAATGTGAGGACAACAAAGGAATCACACTACTGTCGGTCCCAGGATAAGTTTTCAACAGTGTTGCTGGACCGGGTGAAAAATTCAGTGAACGCCCAGCTTCGAGGTCAACAGGCTTGATTCCGTAAGGACCGGTCGTGTGCAGACCAGATCGCGACATTACGGATAATTGTTAAGTAATCAACTGAAAGAAATCCGTCACTATACATCAACGCCATCGATTATAAGAAAGCATTTGGGTAGGAAAACCTTATGGAAACTTCTTCGACACTACGGAGTACCTCAGAAAATAGTCAACGTCATCTGAAATACATACGACGGACTACAGTGAAAGGTCGTGCATGGAGGGCAGCTGACAAACGCATTCCGAGCGAGGAATAAGGTCAGAAAAGACTGCTTATTATCCCTATCGTTCTTCCTCTTGGTGGTTGGCTGGATTGGGAAGACCTCCACATCTGATGGGAAGCACGTAATAAATTTGACAGGTTGTATGCAACTAGAAGATTTTGACTTTGCAGACGATCTAGCTCTTCTATCCTATACGCGTGAACAAACGCCATTGTAGATAAACAGTGTGGTAGAAACCTTTGCACCAGTAGGCCTCGACATACGCTACGGGAAAACAAAGATCCTCAAGTACAACACAGAGAACACCAAACTAATCATACTTGATGGATGAACCCTGTGGAAACTTTCACATACCCGAACAGCATCATCGATGAGCAAGGCGGATGTAATGTAGACGTAAATGCGAGGATTGGCAAAGCAAGGACAGAATTCCCACAATTGAAGAACACACGAGACTGAAAACAACCGACAATCAATATTAAAGTCAGAATCTTCAATACGAACGTCAAGATAGTTCTACTGTTGGGAACTGAAACTCTGAGAACTACTACTGTAGCGCGTGCTAGTGATGTTGACAGATATAAGTAGTATGTTACATCAGCAGAAAACGAAATGCCTGGCGGCAGAATGTTAAGAAGATAGACGAGAAGAGATCGAGAACAGAGAATGATTAGTATGGAAACAAAAGAATAATTAAGTATGGAAAGATTGACGTTTTGCAAATGAATTGCTTATTGTATGATTCTCAGAGTTTCTATGATCTTGTATCCTAATACATTTGTTTGTCTCCGCTTGTGTTCTCATTCACTACACTACAACCATCGTGAAAAACGTACAAGTACTTATAAACAACTAGGTACACAAGAGAGTCAATGTCCGTTGACCAGACACTATAAGCAACAACCTACAGTTGGAGAGAACAAGCCACTTTCCAACTAAAAACATTTGGAAAAAGTCTCTGGAGATGGATGCGACATGCTTTGAGGAAATCATCAAACTGCACCAGGCGACAGATAACTTGTAAACCGAAAAAAAGAAAATCGAAGAGCACACTGCTACGGGAATCGAAAGCATACATCAAAAAGATGAAAAGCAAATATAGAATATTGGAAATGACTATCCAGGACAGAGTTCTGGTGGGCGGCCTTTACTCCTCGGCGAGAGATAATAGACATCAGCAAGTTTCCATTTTACCATTTGTCATCTTTATTTGTCTATTTTTTACTCGCTTATCTGTATTGCTCGCATGATTAATTCATCAAATCTTCTTGTTTTCTGCCATCTGCACATCTGCAGATGAGTATTGTATTGCGATTGACCAATCTTCTGTCTGGTGGTGAGATGGCTGTTTGTTCAGGGAAGTATGTTGGTCTATAATGGGCTCACTAATATATACTCACGATATACAGAACCGAAATTCCGCTAAATTCATGGGTAGTGGTGCCTCCGATTGGCTAGCCTGAAGTTATCAAAAATTCATAGTTGTTCTGTAACTAAGGATGGAGAGCAATGAATAAACAACTTTACGCTAACGAACTTCGAAAAAATGGTGTATTTTATTATCCTAAAAGCTATTTAACATTACCAAATGCCTAGAGCTTTACTGATACAACATGAACCGGATGAAAAGAAATAAAGCTCTTCACGAAGATATTGGGTATATTGAATATTAGGTAGGACATTTGACAGGTCTAGGTCATTAATACTGTCGCAGGTTGGCCTTACTGAATGTCGAGTCATAGTAGTTCCGCTCTGTATACCATCCTGCAAGTTGTACACATTTAATCAGAAAATTGCTGACTTTGATTTTTTATCAAATACTCAACTTTAACACTAACTCATACGTTGAATTTGACTGCGCAGATATTGGATCGTGTCTTTCGGAATAGTACAGTATTGGCCACATACTTTAAACTAAACTGAGAATGTCTTATGCATATCTGTTCAAATACATCATTATTGGGGACACTGGTATGTTGTGTACGTGGATATTACCTCGTTAGCTGTCGGTAAATCGTGCTTGCTTCTCCAATTTACGGACCAACGGTTCCAGCCTGTATATGACTTAACGATTGGGGTAGAGTTTGGCGCTCGAATGGTGAATATTGGTGACAAGCAAATAAAGCTTCAAGTCTGGGACACGGTTAGTTTTCTTTTGAAGCCAGACTTATCCGAGCTTTTGATATGTAATCAATCTCTTCTCATTCAGAAACTTAAACTGAAACAAAATTACAACCTAAAACTTCTTGTTTTAGGTCTTAGCAAGTGCGACTAGTCTCAATAACGCCCTTATAATATGCAGCACCTACAAAACTTTATCACAACATTAATTTTATTGTAGAGAATTTTGGCTAAATTCAGGCACTTATGACAGCTCAAACCCTATTAAAATATTTTTCGTGTAAAAATTTTTAGCTTCAAAACTGCTATTTATGTAATGTTAGGTGGGTCGTGGGACTTTATCTAGCTGACTAGCTTTACATAAATAAGTTAATCACCAATATCTCTGTATACAGGTCTTAATTTATTTTATTTATTTATTTGAACACATAAATATTGGTACAAAGAGGCAGTCAGTCAGTAACAACGTAGAACTTCGTACATACGTACATCAGTTCGAGTTGCCACACCACATAAGCACAGAGATGCAGTTGTCGATTCAAATCCCGTAGTGGTAGAGGTAATAAGAGTATAAGCAGTAATCGAGAAGATTAGGGTTTGGAGATGTTATTTAAAGAGTATAATCCAGTGAAATAAATTTGGAAAGAGGAGAAAAGGGACACGAAGAATTCAGAAGATTAGAATTTGAGAGAACACAGAGAGTGGATGCACCTGCGCCATTGCAAACGATTTTGAGCCATGTCATTCAGGGTCTCTAACCATCGGTTGCTATCATCTCGCGGTCCCCAACCAGGTAGTCTGCACCTACCAACATGACTCAGTCCACTTGTCAGTGACTTCATGGACTTGTGCCATGTTTTGGTCTGGCCGCCCCTAGCTTTCTTCCAACCTACTCCTATACCACTGAACATAGCACGTCGAGGCAGTCGGTCGTAGGGCATACGTAACACGTGTCCCAGCCACCTCAACTGATGAAGTTTCACTACTTCATCAATTGATTTGCTATCCTTACCTAGTACCCGTTTCCTAACAACTGTGTTACTTACTCGATGGTCCCAGGATATACGAGCAATGTTTCGAAGACACCTATGATCGAATACTAGTAGCCTACGTATATCCTCTACTCTTACCGGCCATGTTTCACTGCCATAAAGAAGGACGGAACGAACTACTGCGCAGTAAACTCGTCCTTTGGTTGATAGACGGATATCTCGCCTACGCCATAAATGACGCAAGTTGGCGAAAGCTAGTCGAGCCTTCTGTATCCGTGCTGAGATTTTGTCACACACCAGACCACAATGTCTGATGAGACTTCCAAGATAAGTGAAGCGGTCGACACACTCAACTACTTTACTCCCTATCACTAGTTTGGGTGTCGATGTAACCCAATCCTGAAGCAACATTTTGCATTTCGAGGAAGAGAATCGCATGCCGAACATGCTTGCATTGTTGCTTAGAGTAGTCAGAAGACTCTGAATTTTGTCAGCGTCTTCACCAAATAAAACTATGTCATCTGCATATTCTAAGTCAACAAGTGAACCTCCCGGTAGAAGTTCAACCCCTGGAAATTTAGATGAGGAGAGTGTTATCTCTAAAAGTACGTCGACCACAAAGTTGAACAAGAATGGGGAGAGTGGACAGCCCTGACGAACACCACTTGAGGTAATCAATTCTGATGACAGTTCGCCATAAGCTCTCACTCTACCAGTTGTGTTCGAGTAGAGAGCCTTTATAAGGTTAATGTACATCTTTGGTACTCCTTTCAGTGACAAACACTGCCATAGAACCTCACGATCAGCAGAGTCGAATGCCGCCTTAAGGTCGAGAAATACTACCATTGTGGGGCGTCTGAATGTGTGTCTGTGTTCCAGAACCTGACGTAGTGTGAATATCTGATCTATACAACCACGTCCAGGTCGAAAACCGGCCTGGTTTTCTCTAATCTGCTCTTCACGAGCTTTGATTAGGCGTCGAAGTATTATTGAGGCACCAAATACATATGCACCACACAAGTCACTTGATTTATGTGTGGGCTATAAAACTGTCCGGTTGCCTATACCGAAGTAAGTGGTTTTCGTAGGGGGTCACACCTGTAGCCTTCGACCTGTAGGTCTGATCCACAACGCAGTGGAACAACGTCAGGAGATGCAGTCTCATGCTAGCCGGTGACCAACAATAGGTTCATACGCCATTTGTTCCCACAGGATAGTGTAGCCTATGTGCACCATTGGTTTGGAGTCAGGGTTTCCCAAGTACTCTAGATGGACCATCCGCGTCCTTAAACCCGGTTGAAGCGCCAGACATTCGCTTTTCAGTCTTCAGCAATAGGGACAAAAGATCTATCGACCTCTATTAATCCTTGCAGTTTTTCACACTGTGGAGGTCCAATCTCGTTTCAAATATATCAACAGAAGGTGCTGGTATTACGTGTTCCGGTAAAGAATTCCAGTAATTTACTACTCGGTGCGAGAAACGGAACTCCAGATGTAAACGATTTGATCTCGGTTTTTGGACTTTGAACTTGGAAAAAGTGAGATTAAACTCATTGTACTGTGTCTTCCCACGGAAATCTTTAGTAAAAGGCGAAAGGTTTATCCGCAAATGAGTAGACACTAGAGTCCTTTCGATTTCGTAATCAACACCTCGAGAGGGCAATGAGTAGGATTTCCCTGGCAGTGGCTGCATACACTTGGCCATGTGAGCGTTTCGAGATGGAGAGTTGACTCTACCCACCCTCTGTCGTAGCAGGGCATTTTAGAATAACTATACGTCTAAAATATGAGCTTCAGTAGGTCAATACTGTAGTCCATTTTGTGGTTATGATTTAGTAAAACCGCAATTTACAGGGCAAATAATTTGTGAATAGCTTGAGATTGTTTGTTTAAAGTGTTCATGACAAGGAACTACCACTTCATCCTAATCGACTAATTACATTTGCTTGTTTAACATGAGGCCTGCTGTCCACTTTTGACTGTATTTTCATTAGCGTTCAGTAACTGATACCGGTGGTATTTCTCTTTATGTAGCATTAGGCGTACGGCATTATATCTATTGTACTAATTGATACTGGTTGACTCAACCTTATTCTCGTCTCAATATCAACCTCGAATAATGTATATTTTATAAATGCCGAACTGTGATTATGAAATATCTTGGGTTTGGAACACTACCTTTTGTCCCTAAATAGTGCACTGTACTTAAATATTATCTACAACAAATAGATTTCGACTAACGTTAACTACTGATAGGAATTGATTTTAAGATCATTCCATGTCAATTAGTTACTTTCTACAACAAAATTTCTGTAGTAGTTCACATTCACAAACAGTTTATTACTGTATGTGCTTCCTAACGACTGTCTTCGAAGTAAACTTAGTGGCTTATACTAGGGCATTAGTGTCGTGTTGATAATCATAACTTAAGTAAATATTAGTTATTTGCCTAAATATGTCCTCAATAATCTATATCTAAATTTAATTAGCTATCTAAATTTCTACCTAATCACACTATTCAATAAACTCTTCAGTTCATCTTCACTACATTTTACTTATTACTGTTACTTTAATTCTTATGCAGGCTGGACAAGAAAGTTTTCGTTCCATAACCAGGTCGTATTATCGGGGTGCGGCAGGTGCTCTTCTTGTTTACGATGTTACCAGGTTTGTTATGAAATCTTCGATTTTTTAATTTCTTCACTTCACTAACGTATTGTGGATATTAATTGAAAGCATTAACTGCACTAATTTTGATACATGTTCTTCCTTTATGTCGACTCAGTATAGAGAACTAGAACGTTCTAGGCACTCTTAACATCACTAAATATTAAGGCTTATTATTTTCTTACCTAGATTTGTAAATGGCAGTTTCTTAGCTGCCATGTTTCTTAGCTGTTGTTTCAATTTAGTAGACACTTGAGTTTGGGTACTTATCAGGTTTACTTAGCTATACAGGCCATCGTTAATACACCATAATCGACCAGAAATAAAACGACTAGTAATGCTTAATTGAATTTAAATGTTACCAAAATGATCAAATAAACTTGGATTCAACTCAACAGACTTATTAAAAGTTATTCTTACTTTAATTATTTATACTTGAGCCAAGCTAACCGTTAGTAAGTTCACCTCAATAATTATAGTACTTCAGACACAAGAAAGATAAATAATTGAAACACTTCATTGAAGTTTTCGGATTACAGCTTGTGGTTTCCGCTTGATGTAACTCATATATCAATTAAGTTTTTAAGTACATCATTGGCCAACACGTTGTTTAAGAGATAGTGATATTACCTGATTGTCCAAACCAAAGTAGATGAAATGCGGTTTGGACCTGCAACTCAACTTTCACCACGAAACCACTACCCCATTACTTGATACCACTAAGTCTATTAATAACCTCGATAGGATTGTAATATAGTAAGTGATAGGAGTTAAAAATATTGTAATATCTTTGAATATATTGTTGGTAGAGAACTAGGTTATAAAAAGTTAGTAATTACCAAGCACAATTCTTTGCTGGAGTTGGAAAGAAATGTAATCAGTAGAGTAAGTTCGTACAGAACAAAATGCATAAAAACGACATTTACTGTCAAAAACTGTAAGAATAATGAATATTGGCGAAGCGTAATTCCAACCCAGTTGAGAAAGGAACTGATTTTGGATTTCGCTGTCTTATAAGAATATATCTACGAAGAATGTGATAGGAAAGTGAGGCAGAATAACGATAGGTTTCTGTTCTGAGCTGTGTTAATAACATTTCAAGTCAGTAGTTTTCCTTATTTTAGGACTGCGGAAAACTGTGATGGACCAACTGATGCCATCAGGATTATTAATACGAGTCTTTTAAATGTGGTAAAAGTCAATAACGAGACTCTGCATAGTCAGTGGAGCGGTGGGTTTTTAGTTCAGACACTAAACTTTTTACCAGTAGGTTGTAAGTTTAAACCTCTCTCAACCTACTCCAGTTTAGGGAGCTGGGTAGTTTCACTTGCAGTCATATATCTAAAATGTAGCTGGAGGTTGGGTACATAAACCGGCAGTTGGTACATGAGTTTCAACAACAGAGGATTCAGCTATTTGGGGTCATTTAAATAGCAAAGAATCTGCGATGTAAATAAACTTCTTGATTTAGTCAGCAGTCTGTAGTCTAGAACAAACACCTGCTACACCACATTAGCTTTATAAAGAGAGTATTAATAAGTAGTAGTATCAGTGACAGAAAATATTCGTCATAGAGAATATCCCAAATACAAGAACGAACTCGCAGAATAAATAGTGAAAAGAACTCAGGTTATAGAGGTAAACGAATAGTGAGTACACCTAGACGATTACGGCCGATTCTAGCTATATTGCGCAGCGTCTTTAACCAAATTTAATGATGATTGCGCTAGCCCCAAGTGCTCAGCACCTGTTAACATGGCTTAGCCTAACGATCAGTGACGTTTAGGACTTATCCTACGTTTCGATTTCTCCTCGTCTTTATTACAAGATATTTCCTCATCAACCAACATCTAACATCGAGGTAAGTGTATATTAAGCATACGTAATTCATGTTTGAATCTCCTCCATCAATGCAGATCCACAGCCTCATTAACTGCTTTGAACAGTGTTCTGTGTCTAACTTTAGCACTTCTCACTCTGTAATTCGAAAAATGCAACAGCGTAAGTGTTTACGAATTATGCAATTCAGACATAAATAATAATTTTTCGGATGACAACCTTAGAAGCTATGCTTCTACGCTATTCTTCCGATTATATCGCCATCAGCTTACATTTTGTCATGTTACTGAGTTTTACTTTCAGTTTTCCCCAGTAACCGTAGGTGTAAAGTTCAGAACAGAAACTCTCTCTTGTTCTTTAAGTAACATTGCTCTGTGTAAAAACTGAGTTCTACGAGAGGCTGCTCTCCATCTTCTAAGTTCTGAAATGCTTATCAACGAAGTGCATGTTAATATGGTGAATCCGAATTTTGTACACTTCACTTAGATCTCTTGCTTAGACAGCTTCAGGTTCAACAGTGATCTTTTGTCAGTGTAGTTGTAATGTCCAGTTATAAATTTTATTTTCTGTTAGTACTTTGACATGTACATCTTCATTTTGTCAATCAACGTTGCATAATTTCGATGCCTATTAAAGTCAATTTATTGGGTGAACTGGTTGTTTCACAGTCTTCACTTTAATTATTAGTCATAATGTAATATGTTAAATAACTTTACTTTTCTCTACAGTATTTCGTAAAATCAATCGATCATATTTTATGTTGATTTTATTCTTTCAATTCTTAACGTTTATTAGGCGTGATACGTTCAACCATTTGGCATCCTGGTTGCAAGATGCTCGGCAGCATGCAAGCCCAAATATGGTTATTACATTAGTTGGAAATAAGTGTGATTTGGATGCGAGGCGAGAGGTTAAACAGGAAGAAGCTGAAGCATTCGCTCGTGAGAATAATTTATTATTCCTAGAAACATCAGCTAAAACCGGAGTAAATGTAGAACAAGCCTTTTCCACTACCGCACGCGCTATCTATGAACGCTTACAACTAGGTCTTTTAGATATCAATAATGATGTAGGTGTCTGTTGTTTCGAAAGAAAGTTTTCGTTTTCATTACCTTATTTAGGTTTGTACAAAAATACTTTATTCATTAGTTTTAACCGTTATAAAAATAATCAATTAATTCTCCTTGATCGGTTATAATTAGACATGGTCTGTTATATGAAAGCAGTCTTCCTTAAACTTGTGATTATTCAGAGGTTGGTATTTTGACGTAAGTTTTCTCGACCCTCAAGTATTCTACTGTGAAGTAGAACGAGAGTTAAATTTTAAGTAAACGGACCATCTGAAAAAATTACAAATGCTTTCTTGTTTTATTTCTATCTCCTACAAAGTAGCACTTATCATGAAAATTTCATATCTTAGTCTCCATATCACCGGGTATTGCTAAGTCCGCTTGAAATTCCTTGGAGGTGATTCCCGAAGAGTTAAGGACTGAAAGGGTTTTTTGTGTGGCAAATATCAGAAATACCACCCAACTGCTTAAACCAAAATATGTGAAGGAGAGTTGAAACCTACCGCATCATTTTTGAAGATCAACGTTTTAGAAACTTATCTCAAATTTTCTTACTCTTGAATGCATATGCTAATCCTTTCAAAAATGACACGCCCACGGATCAGTTATTATCTTGACTTTCAAATTTCAAAAAAGTTAATCCTTTGTGAATTAATTTCATAGTGCCGTTGAATTTATGTCGAACAATTTCGTGAAAACCAGAAATTTCCATATATCTCCACATTACATACTTAGACCTATTACCTCTTTTGGGCAAGGAATCATTGAGTTTCAGGCATTTTTCAGTTGTAAGGATGTTGCTCTTTCCTTTTCAGTTCAAACCTCCACACCTGCACCAGATTCTTATTGTTTGTAGATAAGGCTGTACAGGTACGTGAAGGCTCTCAAGTCTTCCAGTGACTCCAACACAGGTGAGTCAGGTGGTGCTCACCGCATCATATTACAGGATCTCTTTTCTTCCTTTGTGATTGTTGACATCTGGTACTGAAGAAGCCGCTGATACACTGGCTGTCTTCATTTGCATTTGTTGTCATGTATGCAGTGGAAAAGCTAAGTGGTCTGTAAAGTGCAAATCATTTGTTTGGGTTCACTATGTCCACCGCATTTAGTGTTTTCTCTTGTCTCCTAAGTAGTGGAGGTCTTCACAATCCAGTCAACAACCTTCAGAAAGAGAAAAGACTAGAGGAATCATCTTTGTCTAACACCAGTCTTCAATTGGAATACAGTCAGTTAGTCAGTCAAAAACAACGTAGAACCTGGTACGTCCGTACGTAGGTTTGGGTTGCCTCACCGAGTTAGCACAACGAAATGGAATTGTTGGTTTAAATCACAGAATATGAGAAGGTGTAACAGTATTAGTGGTAATTGAAAAGACTGGGAAACGAAGATTTGACTCAAGGAATTATAAATTAGTCAAATAAAAAGTAAATTATGAGAAACGCAGAAGCTTGGAAATTGTGGGAAGATAAAGAATGGATGCACCTAGACAATTGCAAACGATTTTGTTTCCTGTGATTTACAGTCCCCAACCAGGTAATCTACACTTGTTAACACGACTGAATACACTTTTTAGTTACTTGACGTACTCACTGAGCTCGTCAGCACATTTTAGGGATGGGATTTCAGACCTTCGTAATGCTACTTATCCAACTATACAGTGTTTCTTCAACTGCAGTTTGAGCTTGGTCACCACCACGTGGTAATTTGAGGCAAAATCTGTTCGTACATCTCACATGCACCTTGTAAATATTTCGTTGACGCAGATGTGGTCAGTCTCGTTTCTTGTAGTGTGTCCCTGTGATTCCTGTGTAGCTTTGTGTATGGGATTGCCGGGAGAAATACTGCCATCTATAGTCACCATGTTGTTGACAGCACATAGATTCTCCAGTCGCACTCCATTCTCGTTACCCTCGTAGTCTATGTCGTTCCGTAATGCGTTAGTATCCGGTATTGTCTGTCCCGAATTCGGTATCGATGTATCACATCGGGATGATCAGCATTTTTCTTGAAGATTTGTTCAGGGTGAGTTGGAGTACTTGGTAAAACTGGTGTTTAAGATGTTCTCTGTGTTCTCTGCTTCGGTTTGGGCACCCGAACAGTATCACAGCCCTCACACAAATCAAATTAGATTAGTGTAGCGTATATGTATTTGGTGATTCGTCGTACCAGTATCAATGTGTTCAAACTATAATAATAATAATCTCTGTGGTGACTGGTAAGTTCGTTGCACAGGATATCGTCGATTGTAGTCCTTGGTTTTTTTGTCTTGAGTGATGCTTAAATGGTCCTGGAGCCTTGTGTTTCTCTTGTGTTACATAAGCGCTTATCCTGGTTCTTTGGATAACGTGAGTGCGACTCTTTGTATGTATTGAATATTTCTGTTTCTGAACGAAATACAATGAGTGTTCTCTCGAAGTTATTGTTTTTGTTGAGATAGTGTTTAGTGTGTTTTACTTATTGCAAACACATTCAAGTTGCGTCTGCTGATTTCCTCGGTTACTCGAATGGTTGTCCCAATCCCTACCAGTTTTCGACATTCCATGTGCGTGTATTAATTGTCGGTTTTGGTTTTGTCGGAGGAGATATGGTGTTAGTGATTCCCGAAGAATTTTGGCTTTCGTCATGAGTCGTGAATAACTGTTCTATAGGAAAATTCTTTAACTTCCATAATGGAGTGTAAGTGGGCTGATTAGTGTATTTTCGCCAGGTGGGGTTGTTGAGGTTACGCACAGCCTTTCTCCTTTTCCTATGTGTGAGATGGTCAGTAATTAAAGGATGGTTTATGCGTAGTCAAATGTCATTTCGATCTCTGCGATGATTTTAAGTTTAGTTTTTGAAAGTAACGTCTTCTATATACTCCGATCCTAACTTTTACTATTTATTCAAATACTGACTAATATCTGTATGAATCAATTGCCATGGTTTGTTTATTTATAATATTGAAGTAACTATCAAGTCGACCGATTTGTGAATGAATATACACAAGTATTTATTCCATTGGTTTTTAATACCATGTGAATTTTTATTTCACTATGTTTCTAAACGAGTTTGGACATTGGTTTTGGATATTTTATTTATTTATTCATATTAAATAATTCACTACCAATGAAATGAAATACTTTCATCATACATCATAAGTTAACATTCGTATCACTGACATCAAATTTTATCAAGATGACCCATTTAATTTTTTACAATAAATGTAGCCTGGTCTTGTTTATTGTTAAATAACTGGTGTGTGTTTATATAGAACTCATTTTAATAATGTCATTCACATTTGAAGTGCATAGGTTGTTAGCTGTTTTTCGCATAGTATAGCGAAACGGTTTATAGTTGTTAGTTCTTACTGACAGAGTATGACCTGTTTGTACAAAAGACCAGATCTTAGTACTAAATCGAAGCTGTCCATTCGGTATTTATGAAGTTAGTAATGGCCCTATCAAAGTAGATGAAATATGCTTGAATCTGTCACATTATTGTATTCTGAAGATAACAAGAAACTGTATCCTAGTATTTTTAGAATAAAGTATTTCAGTGGAAGTGTCTGAAAGACTGTCATCCGGTAATGTCTGTCAATTGTACCGTTGATTTCCCCTGTTGCTCTTTTTATCGATCTACTTGGTTATATCGCTGAGCAATAAATGTTTTGTATATAATTCCATGTGTGCTTCTTTTATAGTTTCTTTTTCTAATAACTGCTACTTTCGTGAATTTACCTCAAATTCGGGTATTATTTCTAGGTCCGATCAATATATATATTTATAATTTTGGGTGCATAACTATTTTCACGATGTCCTCGTTGAGACAAATAAGGTTGTTTGAATATTAAGCTTTTAAAACGTTTTATAATATGTACATGAACACGAAACATCAACGATTAGCCAGCGAGCTATGAATGCCCACTTACTTTACTAGATCGCCCCAGTTCTAGGCAACCTAAGATATTAAGTTGATTGCATGAATTGAACGTAAGTTGTTTTTGCCTAATGTTCATACTATGTAAATCCATTTCAACACCTAGTTTATTGGGTACAGGATTCGTTGAAAGGTAGCTGGTTCTTTTGAGTCATCAAAATATAATCATCGGAACTGATTCAAACCCATTTTGGTCTTGAACTCCAAAAGCCTTTTTAATAAGTATCGTACTCTCATTTCCAGTTATGTATCAGTTCAACCCACTTTGTTTAGATACTTGGCACCACTAACTTTTGCAAAATTTGTTACCGACGAATAGTGAATACACTTTTAATCCTGTATTCAAACTCGTTAAGAAGTCGATACAATACACCTTAATCTGTTTGTCTTCTTTCATGCACTTGTTAAGTGAAGAACTTATTAAAAACAATCGAATACTTGTATGGTTGGTCAAAATGTCTTCATAAATATTCATTAGCGGTAATACTTTAGGCAACTAACATTCTATAAATATTTAGTTGATATATAGTATTTTCTATGATAACTTTTCTCTGACTCAATTATTCAGAGCTTTTTTCATACATATTTGTCACCATAGTTGGTGTTATCAATTAATTGCAGCAAAACTTTTCCATTCATAGCTCCATAACTAGTTTCTTTGCTTGTCGGTTTCCGATAAGACACCATTTTTTCCCACGTTTAAGAATAATTTTCAATTTTGATGATTGTCGATTATAAGCAGACTATTAATTTTGTTTAACAATCTAACTGTAACTAGCTAGCTAACTAACTTTTATTTCTAAAAATTTTTTCTTATCCCGTTTTATGGCCAGATATATCTCTGTACTCGCCTAACAATCTACATTTTTTTGTAACTTAGGCAAATGGCATAAAGTTAGGTCCTCAACAACTAAGTACTCGACAAAGTGGTTCCTACGGTCCGGTTGGCTCAGATTCGGGAGGTAATCTAAGAAGACGTTGTTGTTAGCTCATACCAAAGAGAGATTAGTTTATGGAAAGATAATAAAAGTTATAACTGCGATTAATTATTTTTATGTTTTATGACAACCTTTCTATGATTCTCATTCACTATTTTACTTCATTTATTTTGCTCTTTTTATGTACTTTTTAATTTCATGTGCTTTATGTGTACCCCCCATTGTTTTGAATGAATACTTTTATTGTCTATTTTTCTGTAAGTTTTTCAACAACTTCCCTGTATTTTATTTTTCTTGTTTTGATCTTATTCACTATTCTCAATCAGTCGGTTGTCTATATTATATCTATAAATATGTTTTTAAAAAGGCAGATATTTATTGATTCCAAATGAAAATCCAAATTCCAATCATGCAGCATTACTGTTATAAAATATCTACAAAAATGACACATGCTGTGAAAACATATTCATTCATTTCTTCTCCAAGAAACTAGAGATTTTCCATCTTGTGTTCGCATTATTTCATTTTAGTGTCGTTACTCGTTTACTTTATTTTCATATTGTGTTTGTGTATCCCGATGTACGGAAATGTATTTCCTGATATTTTTAAGCTACCAAATGTGTATCTTGTTTTATAGATGGTTATGTGAAGCAAAATTAATTGCTTTGTGTCAAATTTTCACTACACTCGCCTTTGTTGTTGTATTCTTGTTTATTTAACCGTTGAATATCTAGTAATCATCATTTTATTCAAATGTGTTCAAGCGTGTATAGAAATTTCTATCGTAACTGACAGGTTCTTTTTATAAATATTCTTTTTGTCAGATATCAGAATAAACCTTATTACTCGTCTAATTCTTCTCATGATGTACTCATTTTAACTTGTACTTTATGTCAGATGATCTTTGGTTGATAAAGATACTCTAAAGAATTTTTGTTGTCAAGCCATATGTATAAAATTCACGTCTATCACTTAAGTATGCTTCCGTAAGCCAGATTTATTTGCAATTATTTAGAACACATTTTGAGCATTAATATGATGTTTGCTTTCTAGTACATTTATCCTATTGATACGATTTGATAACAATATAAAATTAGGTAATGTTAGTCAGAATGTTCTGAGTGATTGGGGACGTTAGATAACACGTCTTAACTGCCACTACACCTCCATGAATGCATAATTTTAGATAGTGCAAGTTATTTTCACGATTTATCTAAACAAATATTACAAGTTCTCCATGAAGTTTCGTCTTATTATTCAAACTCCATGATTTTAAATATAGTTAGATGAATTATTCTACTGTTAATAATTGTTTTATTTAAACCGACTCATTAATAATGTATGTAACCTGTAGACATTCTGATTTACATTTCAAGTATAGATTCTTATACGACAAAGTTAGTGTTTCTATGATGATTCTTCAAATGTAATTTATATCATAATTGCCATATTTGGTTGTACGATTCAGTTGAACTATCTAGTCAGTCTAGCTCATTATGTTACTGTGCTAAAGAGACGTGTTTTACGATAGTAAAGTCATCGCCAATATAATATTCCTAATAGTGATAAAAAATGGTTGATTTTTCTCAGATAAGAACTTGGTTATAAGACAAGTAGAAACAAGCACAACAACTAGAGGATTGAATTAGTACTAAATTTTCCTAATGACTCTTAAATGCTTTTATTTGCATTTCACAAAGTCAACAAGCAAACAGTTTGATTTCTTGTCAAGTTGGTTTTATCTTCTCTGTTAATAAAAACAAGCTATGTTTAACATCTGATAAGTCTTGTTGTAAACCTAGCAGTTGCTCTAATGAGTGCATGTATACATTTCAATTGTAAAATAAATATCAATAGGCAAGAAGAATATAGTATATGCAATTTATGTCCTGCGGTCTACTGCATCTTTTCTGTCCTCACTACTTGACTAGTTTATAAAGTATGAAGACTTTTATGACAGTTATAAACTATAATTTACCTGTTCGTCGAAATTTAGACACAAGAGATGAATGTCGACATGGCTGTTTTGAATTTTTCGTTGCCTGGCAGCTCAGTAAAACAAAAGGTATCTTTATAAAATCGTTTGTTTTTCAGAACGACTACCAATTTTTTTGCATACGCCAACAAAACATTTAAAACAAATTACCTTGTGTATGCTTTTGACTTATACGGTGTTCATAGGTCTATGCCGATCTCATTTACCCCAGCTTAAGCAGCTGGACAGTAACTATAACTCACAGAGTATGTATATTTGTACATTTTTGAGTCACACCTTATGCACCATTAAACGGTTTGCGTGACTCACATTATATATATAGCCAGGTTATTTATCGACGGACATGCCTCGACCTATAAGAGAGCACCTACTGGGACGGTAGTAAAAAATAACTCAGGAGTATAGATTTATCTATTTTGAAGTTGATAACGACTATTCAGATTGAAGAAATAATTTATTTCTGCTGATTCATAAGCATGTGCCTATTTTGGTTTTGGGCCAGAAGCTTCAATAAAGCATTAAATCAGTCTAAAGAGTGGTATGGTCCTTGATTGACATACTAATCACAGTACTATGTATTGGTAATGTAAGCAAACAGAAACTAATTGGAATTTCTTCACATATTGATCAGTAGTATATGTCATGCATATGTTTGCTAGAATTAATATTGTTAATAATATCATAGCTTACACTATTCGTTCTAAAAATTTTAGTTTTTAAAACTACAAAAGATGTCATATTTAGATACTTTCTGAATGAATCCTATCTCGGACAACTTGTCATGATAAAAATTGCCTTATAGAGATTTTGACGTGTTAACAGTAACAGATTGAACCTGGACTAAACGTTTTAAAGATGGTTCTTTAATAAACTAAATTGGTATAAAGTTTGATGCTCGGTTGAACGAAAATGCTCTTAGAAGTTATTATCTAAGTATCTATGAATTACAAATTATGTTCAGTCAGGAATATCAGGAACCAAAAACGCTTACTATTTCGTATTTTAACTTGATTATCGAAATTTGATATCACAAGCCTACTTGGTGTTTTAGCGTAGATTATGTACACTTGACTCAAGATTTGATTATGCTGAACACAATAAAATTAACTAAAGATAAACTATCTACGTCCTTTTTTCTGTTGAGATCAAATTTCAACTTATAAAATAAAATTGTCTCATTCTTAATTACTATTAATGATTATGTTGGTTAATATTGTCATTAAATCACATTGAACGTCCCACTGAAATTGATAAGGTCACGTTAAATAATTTTAACCACAATCTACCGCTATACGTTGTTATCACAGTTAATCTACATTGTTAATGAACTTAATATAAGTGTGCGTGCTCATGTGCGCCCGTAGTTGAATCCAATGCATATAATTTACTGCCAAGTTAACAAAAATGACATGAAAATTGGATTGAAATCAGATTTTAAACCTACATTATCCAGCATACATAATTGGATGTGGATAATCATAGAGCTCTTTATTTCTATTATATCAGTTTCTATGTTCGAAACAGTGACTGAGTTTAGGGAATATAGTATTTCATTACACATTTATTTTACAAATATTGAATTCAGTTACTTGCTCTAAACACGATGTACATGAACCAATAGAGACTGGTCATTTGGAGTCCACGATATCAAGCGAGAGGATGTAATGCGGTATATATATAACATTTTAGAATTTGCAACATTTAAAATCAACTACCCTATGTATAAACACAAAGAATACGATACGGTCTGCCCTGAATATTATAATAACATGTAGACCAACAAGAGAGGAATTGAGGAGGCAATAACTTCAAAATATGTCCAGCTATTGAGACTAGAAGCACAAATATAAGGAACCCATCGTTGTAGACAGCCTTTGCAAGTTTCACCAAAGGAAACAAGAAGATAATAGTCGACAACAGCACAGAATGAAAATTCACAGGTCGAATCACAGAAGCAAATAAGAAAGTCACGAGGAGCATTTGAAGCCGACAAGCGGATATACGTGCAAGATCTAGCAATGACAACAGAAAAAGTTGTAGGAACAAATACGAGACGACTATATGATACGACGAATAAACTAGTATGAAAATATTGTAAACTAGAGTGACCATTCAAGGATAAAGAAAACAAAGCAGTCACTGAGATTCAAGAAAAGCTAAACAGGTGAGTGGAGCAATGTGAAGAGCTGTTGAATAGACCAGTCTCAATGAACTCAACGGATGTCCAAGCAGCACACACAGAACACCTCTACATAGATCATACTCAACGGTAATCGAAGAAATCTACAAGGCCGTCAGATAAATCAACAATGGATCAGACAACACACCAGCTAAACACTGCAGTTAGATACGATGTTAACTACAAAGATGTTTCACGTTTTCTCCATAAACATTTGGGAGGAAGAACAAGTACAAACAGACTGGGAAGAGAGATAACTCATCAATATACCGAAGAAAGCTGATCTTAGTAAGTGTACAAACTACAAAAGTAACGCATAACTCTCAGTGACAAGCAAAGTTTCCAATAGTGTTACTAAACCGAATAAAAGATTTGGTAAATGTTTAAGTTCAAAATCAACATGTTGAGTTTCGTAAGGTTCGATTATGTTCTGTCCGAATCACGACACTACGGCTCACTGTTGAACACTCAACTGAATGAAACTTATTACTGGACACCAGCCTCCTTGATTACTGGAAAATATTCTACAGCGTGAATGGCAACAGCTTCGGAAACTAACGTCGTTGGAGTAATTATTTCAGACTTTCAATAGAGATATTTATTTGTACATTAATCTATCGCTCCACTAAAACAACAAAGTGAAGGTGTATATGAGGACTGTGATAATGTTTGTTTTATCGTCTGTTTCCAGCTATACACACTACAAATGTTTATATAAGTTACTTACAAAAAGATGTACATAAATTTATCATGTTCAAAGGTAAATATTGTTTGAGAATGATGTTTTAAAAGTGTGATATCAAACAAATTGGAATCAAAGAGAATACTTATAGAATATATGGATCCTTAACGTATAATAGAGAAGCTCATTCAGACGACAATTTACTTAAAGTTAAAATCCCGTCTTAAAATAACTTTTTATAATAAAATGGACATAATTTGGACAGGAGAAGGAAGAAAGATTCCTGACAAATCCTGGAAAATGGTGGACTGAAATAAAATACTAAACAACTAGGCACTGGAAACGAAATTCATCTTACGAAGTACTTTTAAATATGTTAGTTAAATTTTAGTTTTTTGATGAAAAATCCTGCCCTGAAATTTAGGTTCTCAATGATTATTTTCGAATAATCATTAATAGTATTAACGCAAAATTAAAATGGCTTTAATAGGCTTGTTATCTGAGTTCGTTAAGAACGAAAGACTAATTGAGTAAAGGTGGATGTACATGTGTTGTTTGTAGATCAAAAGTCCCTAAGTTTGGTTCCATTACGTGTTAAACTTTCTTACAAGTTAACATCACAAAACTGTTAGTCATCCCTATTTTTAAAGTTTCAGGTTAACTTATTTAATCTCAGCCAGAGATAATCGGAAAATGTGTTTATTAACACAGCATGAATATTGGGAAAGTTGGAGCTTTCAGAGTCATGGTTCGTATTACCATTGTTTATATCTTTACTGCATTTTAATAGGTAATTATATTCTTGCATTTCGACGTACCCGTTACTGTTATTTTTCAGTGAACCTATTGACTATTTTTATACTCTTTATTATTTCCTATTTAGTGCAAATTAATTATGTACTGTTTTCTCCGCAGCCTTTCACATATATCATTAAAGTATGATTTCTTATTTAGTGTGCTATGTGTTCACACATTTCCAGTAATATTATTGTACGAGTTCTGAATCATCATTGAATTGGGTACAACAGAGAACTGATTTCCTTCGTGTTATCGTCTTCTTATTGGCTACTGGATTAGAAGGAGGTTCAGGAGCCTATAAGCATTAAGACCTTGACTGTTGTTCGTTAGCCAGTGCGTAACTTTATAAAATAGATCACCGGTCCGACTGGCAATATAGTGCTTCACATCGGTTAGAATCTCAAGTCATAACAAATCAGTATTTTTCAGAACATTCGGCTTATTTGAACTATAGGAAACTCTTCACTAATAACCAATGGCTTAGAAACCTATCATAATTTCCCATAGTTTGTCCTTTAGCAGTTTTAAATGTTTCTAATAATAATAGTAATTTCAAAAATATTTCGAGTGCTTCATGTGACTTATTAAAAGTTAGTAACTTTATGACTGTTATAAACCATTTCTCAACTACTCTTTACAGTTTGCATTTTATGTAAATATTTATAGATATTTGGCTTTCTAAACTCAGAACTTTGCAACCTATATTGCTAAACCGTTCAGGCTTAAATGTTTATGCTTGCTTACTAAACTATATTCTAGCAATGATACATTCATTTATCTATGATCTTTTCCTATCTGTAATAAATTCAAAATCAACTATACAGTTAGCGCTTCGAAACTAGAAAGTCATTAATATTAATAATTATTTATTAGTTACATTCATCTAAGCACTACCGTCATGTAAATTAACTTCAACGGCAAAACAAAATCTTGTGAACAACGAAACATCTTTGTATTTGTTTTATTTAATTATGTATAAAATAAAATAGAAATGTAAGTAAATAAAAATCGAATTGTATGACGGCAGTTTGGAAAATATGTTTATGAAAGATGACAGAGTAAATAATAATTGAAGAGCTTTTCAAATTCTTCCTTTATGTTTCAATTCAATGACATAAAATTGAAAAGAAATGAAATACATAGAAATTTCAATAAGTTGTCTGTTTTATTTTGTATTGGGTTTCTTCCTAAATATATCAAACATGCCCAGTATGGTTAGTACTAGGACATAATATAATATGTGGCATAAAGAAATTCAGATAACCATCCATAACTGGTGGACAGTTTTTTCGTGCATACCATTCCATTGAATATAAACAAATCATTTGACCCCAACCAATAAATAATAATATCCAAATAACTACATTCCAACCACGTCCACTACCCTGTACAAAAAATAACACATAACCACCTACACTAAAAAATAAAAATAACACTGGTAAACAATATCTTAAACTCATCATTAGAATATACTCATGTACACCGGCTGATAACCAAAAAACAGCGGTTGCTGCCAATGTACGTGAATGTTTTCCAATTAAGAATTGTATATCACGATAAATATAAGTATATAACCAATCGTGTACAATTACATTCCATGTACGATACCATACACTAAATGTTGTTGCATTCCACCAATCTTTATAAAATAAACGATCACCAAAACGTAACATTTCAGCAAATGCATTCAGCCATGAATGCAAAAATGAATAGAATGCGATCAGCATTAATAAACCACCTGGTAATGTACAAGCTGTTGATGTTAGTATATATTTCTTGAATGAAAACTTTTTTAATTTACCAAGTTGGGAAAATGGTAGGAAACAAAAACGCATAAAAATATAATAACTAAATATAAAACAAACAATTACTTGTAAGAAATTGGAAAAAACAAAATACCATCGTATACTACGAGTACGTGGATATTTTTCACGATAAACTAAAGTTGGGGCTAGCAAAAAATAAAGATAACGTGAGAAATTAGGAAATTCCTCCATTTCAATAACACATGAATTTGATTGGTTTACATGATGATGATTGTTGATTCCTGCTGTTACAGTGGTCGTTGGTGATGGTGGTGTTGATTCATCTTGACCTTCTTCAAATATTCTACCAATTGCATAGCGTACGAATGCATGTGATTTCATAACTAATCGAACTTGTTCACCTGTGACGATTGCTGTACTAGCCGGTGGCAAGTCACAAATTATTGTAAAGCGAAATGACGTCATAAAAAACACCACCTATATTTACGTTTAATAAAAGAAAAACATATATTGATAAAATCTTTGGAAAATACCAACATGAAGTCATTTTTGAACCGATATAATCAACTAAGGTAAAAATTCTCATTTAGACATTTAGAAAGCAAAGTAACATTATACATATATATGATTTAGAACTGATACTAAGACTAATCTTCTTCAAGTGATAGCTAGTTAGTTATTCCATAGAGTGATGATCAGGCGAATAGGATAATTTTGATAATTTAAGATGTTCGATTAATTCAAAAATTGGAATATATAGCTATAAAATGGATAGTTTACACATTCGACCAATTAGAGAATTTAAAATGCTTCTTAAGAACTTAAATATCAGCATTGATTAAGAGATGGTTGGGGTCCCACTAAAATCTGAACTTAGATTTGCATAAAACTAAGCACTTTGAAAATATGGTGATAATCGTTAATATCCAGGCACAAAAAATACCATTGATTAATCAATTTATATCTGCTTACAATTAAAACAGTCTGTGAGTAAAAACATAAAAACTCTCAATTCTTTATCAAGTCATCTATTGTATGTCTATCAAAGTACTTTATTTTAAATAAAAATCGATTTGATATTCAACTTTTAAGTAATTTCAAATTTACGTAATTCAGAGTATTGAGTTTTTTAGCACTTTTATTTTCGAAATGCTAAGCACATGACGTACTTTCGGTACCCAATTTATCAATCAAGAGCTGTGTGAATTTGTAAATGTGAACCATTCAATCCTAAATTATTGATTGGAGGTTAGTTCTTTACTGGAGGGTCTGAATGTCTTCGGTTTGACCCTTAGTAAGACTGTGGGTGTACATTGCTGGGAGACCCAAACTAATATTAATCATAATAATCTCTATTAACTTCTCAATCAAGTAGTTTGTTATTGTCGAAAGAAAAAAATTTGTTTAGCATCACAACATTCTAGCTTTCTTCACTGATGTATATAGTTCACAAATGCGCATGCATAATTAGTATTTAAAATGGATTTCTCTTGCACTTTGTAGCAAAGTATTATACTAGTAAAAAAAGCATGGTTTATTTTTCTTCAGATAAACATCTTCGAGAAAACAGTGGAACGAGTTTTTTGCCAAAGAATTCCCGTAGAATAATTTGAACATATTGTGCTTCAATGTTGGGTTAATTAGACTAGCGCCCATATTACAACTCAATTGACAACATCCCAACAAAACAGAAAGCAAAACAAAAATAATATTGCATATTAATCATCGATCAATAAGTGTAATTATTTAATAGTTGTATTCACTAGTCGATTAAAGCCAGACCACTATGGAAAACCTGGAAGCACTGGACGGCCGTTTCCTTCTAGTATGGGGCTCCTCAGCAGTCAGAATCCACGATCCCATGCACGAGACTCAAACCGAAGACCTTCGGTCTCAGGCCGAAACGCCTAACCTCCAGACTACTGAGCCGGCATCCAACGGTGTTAATTTCTAACTTCAACCAATCCACGATGTGATTATTACTAAGAAATCTGACTTATGCAACATTCTCTGATGAATGAAATTTGGGTACAGCTATTGTATCATAAATCTAATCAATACTTGTCAATGTACTTATTGGAACATGTATTTAAATGAATTGTAGTATATATTTACATATACCGTACTATTATCTAGTTGTTTAATTTAGTTTCAATCATATTTCTTATTATTTTCACAGTAAGAAAATGTTGGTATAATTGAAGGTTAATTAAAAGTTGTACGTAGTATTAGATCAGTACTAATCAGATATCTGTATTGTATCTAAAAACATATGACTAAACTTCACTTGGTTTTAAATCAATAAAAAACACATTGTATAATTTGGTAATATTCGATTTCTTATCTGAGCTAAGCTGGGAAACAAATAAATACGTTCGGATGATGCAATCAGAAGATGAAGATTATCGGAACTATGTATGTATATATACTCGTTAAGACATTCTATATGAAAAATACAAGGTGAAAAAGACAAATTTAGAGGTAGGAGGAAGCAATTTCTCTTCTCGCTGGATTATATAAGGTTATCAAAGGGACTAATCTTTTTAAATAAATAAGTACTTTAAAAATGAAGTTGTCAAATATGAAGTGATGCAACCGAATGGAAGTTTACGTGATTTTTGGGCAGTATAATCTGTATGCTTATCGCCAGTAAAACCATAAGGCTTATATAGTCTGTCGATATGTTTATCTGTCAGAAAATGGAGTCATAAACTAAAACTTCATAGAATAGTTGGACATCATTTATCCTTTTGATCATTGGTCACAGTCGTTTTGTGGTACTCAGGATCATAAAAATGCATTTAATAGGACCTTATCGTGAATATATAATAGTGTGGGGCACAGTTCTTGATTATACCTATAGATATTACAGAGGTTGATAAGTTTACTGACATCATTTGAGGTTATCTCCTTGAGCAACAACTTTCTATTCATTACTTCCATAACTTACAGAAGGATGAGCTATTTAGCTCACGTAATGAGTGGAGATTCGTACAAAGCAGTAGTTTGCTGTCAAAATATTACTTCACTGAGAATTTATGTCATGTAAATATTCGAAGAAACTGCAAAAACATTGTCACATTATCTGAAGAGTTCACAGTCTTTTTAAATTAAATTGTGAATCGTTCATGGGGAACGAATTCCATGCTAGAAATTTCAGAATACTTTAAACAAAGTTGAACAGTGGCTAGGAAGAAGATTCAGAACATGCGTTTCATTCCATTTGGGACATGTTAACTGGATGTACTTTGTTGGGTTGTTGAGGCGAAAGGTACTGGGTTCGTGTCCTGATGTAAGCAACAACACAGGGGTACAGAGACCTACTGACGAATCTCGAGTAGTATGGAACTCTTGTCTTGGATCCCACTAACTCTGTGCTTGTGAATAACATTGTTAATATCAAGACAATTCGCACAGAATGCACATATGTCAAGAGGGATTGATCACATCAATGGAAAGATTCAAACAACAAAAACAAACGAATTTCAGACCATTAATTTTAAATGTGAATATTATTATTCCATTTCAATAGGTTTTAGATCCAATCAATCATCTAACGATTAACATATGAATAAATGGATAACGTTAAACATTTCCATGTTTTTCAATACAGTTCTACAAAACATTTACAAATCATCGCTAAGGATTTAATAATCCTAACTAACCTGTCAACTTTAACAGGATTCGTGTTGTAACACAATAGTTATAGCCAAATAAACCGAACGAGAACGAAACTTATAAATCATATTTGACAAGTTTTTATAGAGGATTATGAAGATTGTTGAATTTGAATTTGAAGGTCCTGAGTTCTTTCCCCTACAAGCTCAAAAATGTGCACTTCTGTGGAGCTCCATACTAGGATGAAACAGCTGTCCAACGTATTCTGGTTTTCAATCTTTGTTTAATCAAAGTCACTTCTTAGTATCAAGCTTCAAATATTTGACCTCCTTTAGTTAGGATATGATTTTCTCCAAAATCTGAGTACGTTCGAGTACATGAAGCTTTGTAAGCAACTGCCCGATAAAAATGTTAACAAGTTTACGAACAAACTTTGCAATGAATTAAAAACATTCCAAAGTATCATTTAACTCTCTCTAAACGTATTTCGAAATTACACAAACAGAAGCACTAAGATACTGTGAATTCATTAATATCAGTATTCCTATCCTCATTTGTATTATCACGAGTGTCACATGTTTTAAAGTTGAGTGTAAATAGGTTATTGATAGTGTCTATTTATAAAGAATCTTAAAATTGTGTGATATTGTGTAACAGCTTGAATCAAAGCATATTTTCGTCAAAGCATAAGTTGTTCACGATTAACTGAATGACTAACAAACAGATACCTAGTACATATCAGACTTATGAGTGATGAATAACAATCATCATAGTAAATAAAGATATCCCAAAGATTGTAAAACTTTGAATTCCTGGCATATTGTGATTCGACGTAAACCACTTGTTCAGCGTAAATAAATAAATTTTAAATTAACACAAGTTTAACTGGAGAATATGAACAAGCCAGAATATTTAGTTCAGTCGATACCAAAGTTAAAATAGGTCTGGTCACGTCAATGTCATGTTAAATTTGGGTCAATAATTCTGTGTGATGCATCGATTTATCTATTTGTATTGATATGAAAAATGTGAAATTTCCAATATGAAGTAGCAGTGTTGGAATCTGTGTGTAGGCATGGATTAGTTGTGTAAGATATGAACAAAGCCACATTTATTGTTATAACAAATAGATCAAGGTGGATGAGTAAGTAGTCAGTCCTTCTTACCTGTTGAGGACAGGGGAGTTTAGTATCAAATGAAATGTTGAAGCTACTCGGCTTTCTTTATAATTGGAAAGGCCTTTTAGGATTATCTATATATTTGTAATCTCGATTTGGTGGTTATTCAAAATAACCTGTACTGCTATTGCCGGTTTAATTTATAGATTTTGCAACTCCACAGGATTATTAGATTTTCTGGTGTAGTTTAAGTGTTCCTTGGCTCAAGTCCAGCTTTCACGAGAAGACTATCCAACAAAACATGCATTACAATCGACAAAAATTAAACTGTAGACTTAATTTTGTTTGTGTCATGTCCCAATAAGAATAATGAGTGGTAATTTTTAGGATCCATTTGTGGACCAATACTATACGTATATTTTTATCGTATAATTATTAGTTAACTAAACTATTAGTATTCATGTCTCTCTTATCATAAGCTTTATTTTAACCTATGAAATGTTACTAGATGATTTTCCTTTCTTGAACTATTCCTCATCTATTAATCACTACCTCCCACATTCACAGCCACATGTGGCCAAATCTTGTATAAATTTTATTTCCTATTTTATTGGTACGATGTGGTCTGTCTGTTTGGTGTATAAACCGAGTATGTTTGAAATAAATTATTCATATCTTAGAGGCTGAGATTGGTATTCTGTACTTAACTGTCTGGGCCAGGCGGAAAGCATGACCAATCAGGACTCCAGGCTGCTCGTAGGGGTTTTACGCGTCATTTGTCCGATCGATAATTCATTGCTCTCTAATTGGCGGCCCCAAGTTATAACAGTTTGGATGTTAACGGGATCTTATATTTAATTATAACTAAAGCACTTCGAAGACTGTTGGTTGTTTTATAGAAAGCTTTAATTCTGAATGTTTTCTAGATGCGTTGTAATTCTTCTGTTGTACCTTGGCGGTAAGGTTAAACTACCATACCAATCCAAGATGTTTCATTAGAATTGTTATTTATAGATGGATCATTTCATTTTTATGTTCTTATTAATATTCATAGGAAAATTAATAAATCGTAAGATGTTTGCCATATTATTTTTTTTAATTATATACAGACGCTAATCGACCACTTCGAATTTCTATATACTAAACCTTGAGATTAATCTGTTTTACTAACTTGTTCATGTGAATTACATCTCGTTATTATCATGTGATTCCGAATGGTATTTATTGGTGAAATTTATAACTTGTAGTACAGTACAATGGTCATAAAAATGTAATAATCGATTATCTTATAGAAGTTCTATTAGGTCATACTATCAATAGTATTATTATTATTATTCATAGTGTGTATCAGTGAAACATTGAACAAATTGTGCTATTCACTAGCTTAAGTCGCTAATTGTGATTTGAAAAATCTTTGGAGCTAATGGTATTTAGGATAGTTGATTATCTTACTTTTTTCATTTAATTTTATTGGCTTCTTAATTGGAAATTATGTTTCAAATCCTAAATGAAAGTTCTTAACAATATAACACTGAACCATTGCGCCATTATTTTCTTTACTACTGCTTACGAATTTCAGCCAGTGGATTCTTATCAATTTCATTTTATACAAGAAAAATAAGAGCATTTATGGGATTACAGAATTTGATGATTGAAACATCTGTTTACTCTTCTGTTGTTCTTGAAATTGATCAGATAATATTATTTGTTCTTGTTTCCCTGTATTTGATAGTCAATGAATTTAAACAACAATAAAAGTTTTTCCTAAATGATGACGACAACATGTAAATCAGAAGGTTAAACACAATGCTATTCATCGTTGGTATTTACTGTCGAAGTGAGTCAACATAAAATGAAACGTCTATTCAGTACTTACTGGTTTTACATAGTTTTTTGGCATTGCTAATTCTTGATAGAAAAATTCACTAATATTGTCAAATCTTTCTGCAGCTGTTTAATTTATTAATAAATTGCTCGTTTACATTTTATGATCGATTTGTTTCAATAAAACAATAGAAAAGGTAGAAGTATTTGTTTCGCGTAGACATCGGCGTACTTAATCAAAAACATCACTTCAAACATTTTCACCAGACAACGTTTTCGGATTTCAGGAAGAACGCATTGGTGTTTTATAACTATTGACTAATATTAACAGTAAACACATTCTGCCACTCTTATCTTGACTAAAATCACTGGTCATGGTATTTCGTGAAAATTTCCTCTGTTGTACATCATTGAAAATAAATAATTTTGTCTAGTTTTCAGATTTTTGTAGTTTGAGAAATGAAATGATGACCACCAGCCAACCGACTAAACTATGGTAGATTATGATACATACTATACAAAAAGTTTACTCTATTTAATCCTGAAGACTGATATCTTTTTTCGTCAGTATGAATCACAATTATCAGTGGTTGTTTATATGATCAACACGGTTAAAAGTGCAAGCAGATTTAATTAAGTAAAACATGAAAAAATATAAACCTAGAAGAAAAAACAGATATTAAAATCCAACTAACCTGATAAATGATATACGCAATAAAGAAAATCCAATCCGTTGGACAGATTTTCTTGCCAACCTTTGGTCTATAAGCCATCCACAATAGAACACCCCAAAATGGTATAAAAATAGTGGACATCTTCATTGAAAGCCATATACGGAATACATCATCTAAATTACCAAATGTGAATCGCAATATGTCCATATCGTAGGCATATAGATTAATCTTAGGATCAATAAAATCTTGTATCACTGTATTCGCTGAGAAGATTATTGTCACAGCAACAAATATATTATAAACAGTACGTATATGAGAGATTTGAAACAGTGTAGTCAGTACAGAGTCACGAGTGCGATAATGTTTCGTTGGTAGACTGTGGGAGGTTAGCGATTTACACTCTGTTTTATGCCTGTAAGATAATAAAGAAATATATGCTATACATGGAAAAAACTGTATGAATACTAGTAAAAAGATTGAAAATTTCTGGGATTTTCAGGAAACGACTGTCTGTGACTCAGTATATTCACAATAAATTCTCAACTCATAATTTAGGGACCTTTAACGAGCACTTTCATTACAGACTAACTAAACTCTGCTAGACATTTTCATATGAGGTGTTTAGATTTATATGTGACAATTTTAAGAGAGATTTTCGTGAAAAAAGTGCTGACTTGGCAAATTCAAGATTTCTTCAGTATTTTCAAAACAAAAAGCTTTTATATATGTACACAAACTTTCGGGGGAACGTTTTATATGAAGGCTAATTAAATATTCAAATTAGAAGAGACAGAGCAATGTTTAAATCTCCACGAAAATAGGAGATAGTTAAACATAGGACTATATGTACTCCTAGTCTAATATAAAATATTGGATTATGGAGGTGTGGAAATTGTTGGACTTCATAAAAATCATTAGCTGATCTTACCCATCTAGGCTCAGTTGTCTAGAGGTTAAGTGTGAGCGCGAGACCGAAAGTCCTGGGTCCGAGTTCTGCGTACGGAACCATGCATGCGCACTGCTAAGACGTCCCATTCCAGGACGAAACGGTCGTCCAGGCTTTCAGTGGTAATCCAGCTTAGATCGATTCACGATTTCAATAAAATATTTGATATGATAATAACTTAAAGTTGATGATTTGCTTTCGAATATGTATACATTGAACAATCTGTTTACTCTATAACTTCTTAAGATATGTATATAAGAAACAAAAGTTGTCCAACTAGACGGGTCATAATATAGAAACAAAAGCATTCACACTATTTTGAATGGTGAAGTTGAAATAATCGTCACCAGAATACGTACTCTTGAATTTTCGGTAAAGTGGGGAGACTTGAATTTTTATTTGACTGAGGTTTATCTCTGACTATCGGTACACATTTCTTAAAGATTCATCTTAAGGTCAATCTTACTACTAGTTTATAAAATGCTTCACAATTACATAAGGATCCGTTTTTTATTGTCTTGGAGTTTATTTTTTCTTGAAATCACTTAGACATATCAGAAACGTTATATTTTTTTTCTACTCTAGCTAAATTAATCGAAAGGATTAATATTTTCAGGGTTTTTTATGTCCTCACTGTTATTTTTTATTATGAATCCTTCTCTAATCTGTTCCTATCAAGAGATGGAACTATCCCTGTTAAACCTTATGTATTCTAGAGAGTCAGCAAGTAAGATGATTCACAGTGTTATCACAACAAGATACACAAGATTAGATACTGATAGAGGGATGTGACCTCGACATAATCTAGCAAGTCATATCATTCCTGTTTAACACCATTAGAATTAATCATCTTTGTAAGTCACTCAAAGTAGTAACGAAAATAATTTTGTCTAGTCCTTAGTACTGACGAAATCCTCCCAATAACATTCCAGTGTTTTCATTACTTCTGTTGATCCATTTAATTAATGTACAAAACATCCTAGTATTTCAAAAGATCTTCCATTACCCAAATAATCCAGTAGTAACATCTATAACTATGATACTGTGGACTATGGCTGAGAATTCTGCTGACAGCATCAGTCCCCATAGTGTTTTAAATATGATCAGTATTAGTTGCTTCTTTAAGCTGTGAACTCACGTTTCGATAGTTTTGACATTTATGTCACACAAAAGTTTATTGTAAAATCTAACACATATCAATAGTTTTAAATGAACAATCTAAATGAGAAGCACCAATTTAGATGTTCTTGTAGATTAATGAATGTAGTTTAAAGATAGATTTTATCACATGACATGTTGTAGGAAACTACGAGAAATCATATCGTGAAAACACACCAACAACAATACACTAATCAGCCCACTTACACTCCATTATGGAAGTCAAAGAATTTTCCTATAGAACAGTTATTCACGACTCATGACGAAAGCCAAAATTCTTCGGGAATCACTAACACCATATCTCCTCCGACAAAACCAAAACCGACAATTAATACACGCACATGGAATGTCGAAAACTGGTAGGGATTGGGACAACCATTCGAGTAACCGAGGAAATCAGCAGACGCAACTTGAATGTGTTTGCAATAAGTAAAACACACTGAACACTATCTCAACAAAAACAATAACTTCGAGAGAACACTCATTGTATTTCGTTCAGAAACAGAAATATTCAATACATACAAAGAGTCGCACTCACGTTATCCAAAGAACCAGGATAAGCGCTTATGTAACACAAGAGAAACACAAGGCTCTAGGACCATTTAAGCATCACTCAAGACAAAGAAACCAAGGACTACAATCGACGATATCCTGTGCAACGAACTTACCAGTCACCACAGAGAACATCTTAAACACCAGTTTTACGAAGTACTCCAACTCAACCTGAACAAATCTTCAAGAAAAATGTTGATCATCCTGATGTGATACATCGACATCGAATTCGGGACAGACAATACCGGATACTAACGCATTACGGGACGACATAGACTACGAGGGTAACGAGAATGGAGTGCGACTGGAGAATCTATGTGCCGTCTACAACATGGTGACTATAGACGGCAGTATTTCTCCTGACAATCCCATACACAAAGCTACACAGGAATCACAGGGACACACTACAAGAAACGAGACTGACCACATCTGCGTCAATAAAATATTCACAAGGTTCATGTGAGATGTACGAACAGAGAGATAGGAACAGATTTGAAGACATCATCACATGGTATTAGTCAAGCTGAAAATGAAGAAGTTCTGGGAAAATGAATGAACAGCACTATAAAAGCTTAATATATGTTTTCTCTGAGCACCTAACAAGCTCAGAGAGTTCGGAGTTTGTCCGAGCAACAAGTTCCAAACGACATAGGATACATCTTCAAGATGAACAATTTGAATTTCGTGAGGCTCTATCAGTTTCTGCCTAAATCACAATACTACGGATCATTGTTGAACATTCAATTGAATGAAATTCAATACTGAACACCAGCCTCCTTGATTACTAGAAAATATTCTACAGCGTAAATGGCAGAAGCTTATGGAATCTCCTTCGACACCATGGAGTACGTGAGGAAATTGCCACCAGCATACGGGATTCATACGAGTGACTGCACTTCAAGGTCATAGTACGTGGAGGACCGTTCATATGTATATGACCATTAAGACTGAAGAATACTGTAGGATGATAGTATTGAACGATAGGCGTCTTTGAATCACCGAGTAAACGATGACACGGTTGGGAATAGGTTACTATGTAAGGTTGTGGACTAATGAGAAGGAGAGCCCAGGACATAGTTTATTGGTGATCCCTTGTCAGTGTCCCATGGCTCACGAAAACTAATAGGTGTATGTGAGTGATATCTGGAAGGTTTCATATGTATTACCGTCAACAAATTGTTTTATTTAGACCTCGATTGATACAGTTAAATACAACAAGCAATGTATTATTGTAAACATAATTAACTGCATCCAGAGAAATATCATAAAACTGTTATCTAATTCCCAGCATAACAAAAGTAGTTGTTCTGGTAGCGAAAATCCGGGCTTTTTTGATTATACTACTATTCATTAAAAAGTAATATGAAGAGCTTATCAACAAATCAGTTCCAGTTTGGAAAGGACAAGAGGCTTGATGGCCTGTGTTAGTCCTGGCAATGGTGGTCTTTCAGTTGATCCAACTTCCTTTTGAAAAAGTCGACGGATGGCGCCTCAATCACGTGATGAGGTAATGAATTCCACTCGTTGATGATTCGATGGGAAAGTCGATAGTCATCTGACAAATAATTTGTTCTGGGCTTGTGAACTTTTTTGGAGTGTCCTCGTAAATTCCCTGTTTTGGAAGACAAGAAAAATGAGGGCGTATCAGGTGCAAATTTATCACTAAGCAATTTGAAGACTGTAATCAAGTCGCCTCTAGTTGAGCTTGGTCAGTCGAGCTTTATACGGAAGCCTCGCTATTCCGGGAATCAGCTTAGTTGCTGTTCTCTGAACCTTTTCCAGAAGCTCACTGTCCTTTTTTAAGCAGGGGATAGCCGCTTGTATGCAGTTCTCAAGTTTAAGACGTAAGAACACTGAATACAAAGTAAAAAAAGTTTTAGCGTCGACATGACTAAAAGCCCTACGTATTGACCATAAGGTTTTAAAACATTTGGCGGCTATTGCACGGCAGTGTGCAGTAGTCTTTAGGTCTTGGCTAACGATGACTCCCAAGTCATTATATGTCTGAACGACAGGTAGATCAGTGTTATTCATCGTGTATGTATCTGTACCTTGATGACCGATATGCACCACAACAAACTTAGAAGTATTTATCGGCAACTTCCAGGTTTGAAACCATTCAGATAACTTCTTCAGGTCACTTTGGAGTTCTAAGCTATCACCCTTACATCGTATCGTTCACCATATCTTGACATCGTCAGCATATAGTAAGACCGGTGATGATAGGAGACGAGGAAGGTCATTTACACACAAGAGGAATAGCACTGGCCCCAAAACTGTACCCTGGGGCACTCCACTAAACACAGTTCCCCAGCTAGATAACTTTGAGTTCACCCATACTCTTTGTTGGCACTCAACTAGGAAGTCTTTTATCCACATCAATAGATTGCCTCAAAATTCGACATTTCTTAGCTTATATAACAGCCGGTTGTGCAGAACTTTGTCAAAAGCTTTGCTGAAATCAATGAAGGCTACGTCTACAGGTAACTTTTGGTCCTTAAGAGCGCACCAGCTTTCACGAGCGACTAATAAGTTAGTGAGACAAGAATAACCTATTCTGAAACCGTGCTGCTTCTCCGAAAGGATCCAGTTTTCATCGAGGTACTTAAACAGCTCCTTCCGAATAATCTTTTCTAAGATTTTAACAACCACACTAGTTAGGCTAACGGGTCGGTAATTCTCAGGTTTATGTTTCGTACCTGTTTTGAAGACAGGACTTACTATGGCGTTCTTCCAGTCTTTTGGTAAACGAGCCT